GGTGCCACCCCACGGCCACCCGCCGCGGGGCACCACCCCCCAGTGGGGTCCCCGAGGCCATGGAGAGCTCCGGATGTCATCAGGGACCCAAATGTTCTTGGGGTGCCCGAGGCCATAGGGGGTCCTCAACGGTCATCAAGACCATGGAGGACATTGGGTATCCCTGAAGGGTCCTCAAATATCCCCAAGGGGTCCCCAAGACCATAGGGTGTCCCCAGGGGTCCTCAAGACCATGGAGGTCTTTGGGTGTCATTGGAAGGTCCCACATGTTCTTGGGGTGCCCAAGGCCATAGGCTTTTCCCAAGGGTCCTCAAGATCATGGAGGACATTGGGTGTCCCTGGAGGGTCCCCAAATGTTCCCGGGGGGTCCCCAAGGCCATGGGGTGTCCCCAGGGCTCCCCAAGACCATGGAGACCTTTGAGTGTCATCAGAAGGTCCCCAAATGTTCTTGCGGTGCCCAAAGCCATAGGGTGTCCCCAAGACCTTGGAGGACTTTGAGGGTCCCCAACCATCCCCAAGGAGTCCCCAAGGCCGTGGGATGTCCCCAGGGGTGCCCAAGATGATGGAGGTCTTTGAGAGTCATCAAAAGGTCCTAAATATTCTTGGGGTCCCCAAGGCCACGGAGGACTTTGAGGGTCCTCAAACGTCCCCAAGGGTTCCCCAAGGCCATGGGGGTCCCCAAGGCCATGGAGGCCTTTGTGTGTCATCGGAAGGTCCCCAGATGTTCTTGAGGTCCCCAAGGCCATAGGGTGTCCCCAAGACCTTGGAGGACTTTGAGGATCCCCAAACGTCCCCAAAGGTTCCCCAAGACCATAGGGTGTCCCAAAGGGGTCCCCAAGGCCATGGCGTGTCCCCAGGGTTCCCCAAGATCATGTTGATCTTTGAGTGTCATCGGAAGGTCCCCAAATCTTCTTGGGGTCCCCAAGGCCGTAAGGTATCCCCAAGACTTTGGAGGACTTTGAGGGTCCCCAAACGTCCCCAAGGTCATGGAGTGCCCCCAGCGGTCCCCAAGACCATGGTCTTTGAGAGTCATCAGAAGGTCCCTAAATGTTCTTGGGGTCCCCAAGGCCACGGAGGACTTTGGGTGTCCCAGGGGTCCCCAAATGTCCCCATGAGGTCCCCAAGGCCATGGGGTGTCCCTAAGGGTCC